AAGTACACTGAATCTCTTTTGCTTCGTGACATGCTGCATTATCATATTAAAGCGCATAAAGTGTGGCAAGAAAACATTCCCCACACTATTACAACACCACCACTATGCCTGGAGTGTTCACACAAGGCAGGTTTGTTCCATGGATTCTGACTCTACCATCTTACTATATGTGACAAGGTCCTAGCTTTTTCAGTTTCCGCTGTCCACTGTTTTTAAGAAGAATGAAGCATCTTGTCCTCCAGATAGAGGCTAGAGATTCTCCATTCTTGCAGTCAGTGATCTCTGCGCAACCTTTGTACCACCACCAACATAATCAGCACCAATTAGCAGACTCCCAGATAGTGTGGAGGCCTGTCTAACTCTCCTACGTCCTTTTATTATTCTCTTTCATTATCTGTAATGTGTTTTTTGGTTTGGCTCTGTCTTTTATATTCTTCCTCTTTACCAATATTCTCTCTCTATTATTCTCGAGTCACTCTCATTCTCTGTCTTTTCACCCACTCTCCTTCATCCTCCACCTGTTATCTTTGCCTTCTCTATTTTACCCCTCCTCTGCTGCACTGCTCTCCTCTTCATCTGCTGTCGTTTCTTCACTGTCATCCTCTTCACCTGTTCATTGTTCATCTCATCACTTTTTTGTGCCTTCTTTTACCTCCCTCTCTTTCAGCCCTTTAATTGTTCCTCTTCCTCCCTTTGTCTCCTCTCCGCCTTTTCTCTTTCTGTGGCACTCTATGTAACAATGCTGAATCTGACAAGCATCTTTCCTGTGAGACTGTTCCTCCTAATCTAATTGAAAACGATCTTGGTGTAAAGATTGCTGGGAAACCCAGACAGTAGTACAGTTGAGTAAACAATATGAGTATTCAGAGGGGTGACAACATGCTCAGGGCTTGCCAACAACACCTGTTAAGCCAGGTGCACACCGCTTGCAAAACAGAATGAAAGGAAAGGACGAGGGAACAGGTAAAAGAGAGCGAGAGAGGAAGAGAGGAGAGGAAGGAGGATAGGAAAATAAACATGGGTAGATAGGTAGAGTGAGAAATAATGCATCATTCATCCCAAAACACTGTACATTTCTAATTAATGCCTGACATGTCTGTGACCCTGAAGAATTAAGTGGGTAACAAAAACAAACGGATGGATTAGCATCATCACAATGGTGAACCACGTCACTGCACTGAATAATACTGTAGTTACTATTTATGTACTTCTGTGAGTATGCATGTGTGTGCAACTGCATGCATACTTGTGGGCATGTGCTTGAAAAGACAACATTTATGCAACATGCACACATGCATCTCTTATGTAACATGGGGAGCATACTATACAAAGACTATATTTTCAGTGGCGCTGAAATAATGACACGTAACAGATCTAATTACTTTTTCATGTCACGCACAACAAAAAGAAACAAAGTGGAGTCAGTCAGGGTTAAAATGTGATTATTATGTCGTATGAAAATCAAGCCATGCTCTGTCCTTGACTTTATCTTTTGACAGCACGGATTCTTTCATCTCGTGAACAAAACTCATCTTTAAAGACAATTAATACCATCATCCCCAGTCTTAACCTTCGCCAGTAGCTTCAAAGGGAGTGTGACCTCCTTGAAAATTAACAGACAAATTAGGTCGCGTCTGCCTGTGCACACAGTGCCTGTGTTTACATGCTATTTGAGTAATGTTTGAATACGCTAATTAGCAGGTTAATTGCATTTTAGTTACATGTGACTGAGGTGCATGAAGAAATGTGTGCACGCACGCTCAGTCTGTCACATGCAGGAGACACTGGTTAAAAAGTCACAGGGTTCAGACATTTTCACTTTGCTGCAATAGTGTCACTTACACTAAGTGTTTATGTTCAACCAAATATTTGGTTGTGCTGAACAGTTTAAACACTTTCACTTGGTAGCAATAGTGTGACTTGCAGTATGTGTTCGGCACAAGAAAATATTTGGTTGAACATAAAAACTGAGGCACCTTCTATGCTGCTGGCTGTTAAATGTCACATCTCAGAAAGTCCTTGCACCTTTTCTATTAATCCACTACTTGCCAATTTATTATCAGAATGACTGCTTTCTAATTACCATTTTAAAATGGTGGCCAAACACTGTTCCTCGACATTTCATCATTACCCTGACAACAAATGATTATATGCTGTATGCTGATATTGTTGTAATGAACCCATTAAACACACTTTCTGAATACAGCTAAAAATGTATACAGATTTTTATGTAGTGAGTAGAGTGGCAAGGCCTAACCTTCAAAAGTAAGCACAGTCAAGATTATAGATGATCTTTTCAACAATTTTTTTTTTTTTTTTGCTTTATCCCTGAAAACTTTATTCTTCAAGAAAAAAAGGATTACTACTGGCAGCAGTAAAAGCTGAGTTTGCCCGTGGCTTTAGCCATCAGAGACAGCGCAGGAGCCAGCTACTGTACCATATTTCAATAGTCCAGACTCCACTCATTAAAGCAGCACAAAAGCCTAATCACATCTGCAGCGCTTTGATTTACATGCAATTAAAGTTTCATGTGAACCCAGATAAACCAGACAGGAGGAGAGCGGAGGAGAGAGGGAGGAGGACACAAGAGCAAGTGGAGAAGAGGAGAGGAGCGAGAAGAAAGGAGGAGTGCTCTGGGACACACAGGAGTAGGAACAGATGAGACACTGACAGAGAAGAGAACAGATGTGTACAGCGACCAGGCGCAAAGAGAAGAAGAAAGAAAGGTGGGGACAGCGAGATGGGGGGTTGGGGGGTGAGTGGGGGGGTGTTGTGAGCTGAAAGGAGAGGAGAGGTGAGGCAAGCCATCATTTGGCGGGAGAAGTGATGACACAGCACATCCATCTCAGTGGCAGGTTCCTGCTGTTGCTCCTTTACAGAGGATACAAACTAACAGGGTGAGCGAGCTCTGCACCAGCGTTACACTGTGATAATACCACACTGAGTCAGACTGCTCGAA